ATTTGAAATCACTTACTCATACATGAGTTGCTGGTTGGGATATATGGGCTGTTAGGCACCTTCAGACAGGCATTTATACGAATTTTCATCAATGCTTAACGTTAACTAGAAATTATTAAGGCATTGAGATTCGAACAAGGCATAAGTCGTTAGCCAATGGCTCACGCCTCGTTGGATAACCATTTGTTTATTCCCGTTATTGTTCCGGAAGGGAGTACTACCTCGTATTCTAACCTACTTTACCACTAAAGTTCCTTGACTTTCAAGACGGTTGCACCAAGATGCTGACCGATCGTCTTCAGTTATGCCAACTTTATCGCTTTGCTAGCGCGAGGGTAACACGTCATTCAGTTTACCTGCCAACTCTTAACAATGCAATAATTCCTCGAGTCCTATCTCTGAACCACAGAAGGCATCCCATGTAGTCACTATCAGTCGTTTTGGATGTATAAGCTTTAAAATATCTGTAAGCATGCCTGTTCTAAATTTTTGTTACAAGGAAAAACATGAAATCCTTCTAACAGTAAGTGAGTTTTCGCGCTCCCACAAGAACCAATATTCGGGGAATATAAAAGGATAATAAAGCATGAGCAGTTTCTTAGTCTGAGTATACGGTTGACGGAGGGAAGAGGGGAGGGGAGGCTGTGCGTCCCCGTTTGTATCCGGTGATTGAATATTCTTATTTGAAGTTCCACATCTGTCGGCAATAATTTACAGTCAGCTTGGCAGAGTGAATATGCCACCTTTATTCGAATAGCTACTTTTGCCAGGACTTTTGTAAGTCCCTAGGGGTGTCTGTAGCACTTCATGGCGCATCATATATCCACATGTTGCCGGCATCTGTGCGGTTAAACTTTCCAAATTTGAAATGTTAAGTTGTATGCATGGAGGAAAAAAGGGATCTAGGGAGAGTGAACTTGACCTGGGAAGAGCATGATTCGTGCTCACCGACCTTGCTTATCCTGGCGTAACGGGAAGAAAAATCTGCGATACCACTGTAATCAATTAGCCCAAGAAAGACTTCACTTATTACGGCTGCTATAATGACTGATCTAACTGGCTTCGATAATGTTCCAGATGATACTTCTCCACGCATGACGATTCATGGCAGCAGACCTGAACATTTAAATACATTCTCTTTGTCGGCGACGGAGTCCGAATACCGAAGGTCCAAGAACTAGTCATGTCCTGCCGGACTGAGTCGAGCCTGGTTTTGAGCTGACCCCTTCTTCGAAGTCTGCAATTAGGTAAATGTATCGAATCGAAGGCAGTAACAGTAAGCTCGTGAAGTTGACGACGAAGAACGTGTCCAAACCATCTCAGTCGTCTTTCTCGGATGGTGTGAGATTTCTTAATGATATTGTCGCATCAAGTGCGGACTGTCTCATTCGAGACGAAGTCAGTTTACTTCGTTCGAAGGATGGTTCTGGACAACTTAATTAAGTATGTTCAGGGAAGATCATATACGTATCAATTAAATGTACGATAATGATTTAGGGATCATTCGCGCTCCATTGGTTGTGAGAGATGCCATTTACCTACGCAGATTCTTTATTTTTCTTGCCGATGTTGGAACAGACCTACTTTTAACCTACATACTCACTTAAATCTACGTGATAAGCGTCAACGCAAAATCAATCACGGACCGCCTTTGCCAAAAAATATGACTGTTTTTTGCTAGAAAGGGATGAGGAGTTGACTGCTTGGTGCTTTAGTTGACAATCACGGCCACCCATCTCGGTGTATGATGTGCACAAATTGGACGACAAGGCGCACAGATTATGCCTCACATCGGACTTCAGTCTGCATAGACTCATGCGGCGCCTCATTTCGATAACTGGGGAGTTTTAAACCCGTCTAGGACTGTGGTTCGCATCCTTTGAATCGCGCTTCATGATTAGTGTCGGTCTGTACCCCATTAATTACCATTAGTGTCCATGATAGCCTAATAGTTGCTGGCTGTTGAGGATTCGAAGAAACCCACTTGGACGTGTTTGTCTGGCTTCGTCCTTGTTCTAGCTCTTTGCGCTCGTGGTTTGTGGGTAGGACGAAGTAGTAGTTTCTCCGTCTGTGGGCAGACTGCACAGAGTCGCGCATGCCGCAGGCAGGCTAAAGTAACGGTTTTTCACGTGATCGATCAATGTTCGTGCCTATTATAGTCGCCTTGGTGTGTGCTCGTTCGTTTAGTACAACATTTCGTTAATGTTGAACTCGTGGTCCATTTTCGACGGCAAATGTGTTACCACTTATGAGCACCTGTGTCCGCCCGGCCTCACGAATCCGGCAGTAAGACGTACTCTCTTCCCCTCGCCCGCCAAAGGCGACGTTGAAAAATCAAGGCTCAGGCCCAATGGAACGCGCAATTCGTATGTTTTATAATGCGAGTTGTGCAGCTAGTACACCAGTCTCCGAAGGTGGATGATGGGGACTGCTATTTAAATTATCAGGATGGTACTATATCTCTTCCAGGGAACACCGGTAGCCATATACTCTGTTTGGGAGTTGCATTTGTG